AAAAAATTAGAATTTTCAATTTGTTTGTTTATAATAAGGGACACAGAGGGACCTGAAAAAGTCTTTAGTCTTTAAATTGCATCAAAATCGCTAAAGTTTCAAGGAAGTCAGTATAATTTACTCAGTTTTTGAAAAATGAATCGACATGTCAGAAGTATATATATCTATATATCTACATATATATATATATATATATATATATAGTTAAACATATCTTTTTCTGTTTGTGTTGTTTGTTATAAATTTGGTCTGAGTCAACACATAAGAGAGTAAGTTTTTTTTTTTTTTATTGTTTTTGCATTCTGCTTTCGGTTTCTTGAGTGTGCGTTGGGCATTTTTTTTATATTTTTTTCTATAGAAACCGATTTGCAGTTAGTTAGTAGTTGTTCTGTGCAAATGCTGCTAATAGAAAACATAAATTGCGCTTACTGCGCTCTCACGCTTTTAACGCAACTTATATGAAACATATATATACATACATATGTATATACTCTCCTTCGGCCTCTGCAAGTTGCTGCTGTGGCTGTTTGGCTGTAGTGTAAACTTTTTGAATGCGATTGTGTTTTGTTGCTTCATTGTACGCTCTTTTATAGTGAGATGATTTTACAATAAGAATTCTGAGCGCATCAACACATGCATATACACATATATATATATATATATATATATATATATATATATGCATACACATGTGTTTAGAGACATATTGCATGAATTATAAATGCGTTTGTGTGCGTTTATTGCTACTGCGCAACTGAGTGCCTTAGTGTATTTATTTATTTGTGGCAGCGCGTTGTGTTGCTTAAAAGCAAAAGCACAGTGGTTTTTTGGTGGTGGCCAGCAATTCACAAAATTTTGTCTATTCGGACCTAGGTTTCGGAGGTGCTCGCTCGCTCGTCGCAGTGTGTGCACTACATGTCACGTCGTAACGTTTTCTTAAGTTTTCATTTTTTATATAAAAAATTCAAAAAAAAAAGCAAAGCGCAATAATAATAATAAAGTTAGAAAGCAAAAAAAAATAAAATTTACAGAAATAAAAATAAATAAATAAAGAAAAACTAAATTCAAATTCAAATCAAAATAAAGACGAAAAGAGAAAAAGAAAAAAAATGAAAAAAAAATTTATAAAAAAAAATTCCAAAGAAAACTTTTCTAAAAGTGCGTAAAAAAAGCTAATGCGGATAAACATTACAATCTGACGACAAAACAAAAAAACAAAAGAAAAGAAAAGAAAAAATTTGTATATTGTTTCTAAAGAGGCTTAAAAATTATTAACAGGAAGTAAGCAACAAGCTAACCAAGCGGTAAATTTTTAATTAATATTTGATTGAAAGAATACTTTTTATTGCTTATGAAGTGTCTACAAAGTTTGAGCGCAAATGTTAGAACAAAAAATAATTTATTAAATTAGTATTGAATTAAAAAAAAAATTTTTTTTTTTTCTTTAAAAAAAAGTCCTTTCATCTGTCAAGATTTGTTGTTGTCGTTCTTTTTTTTTTTTTGAAAAAGTTTTTAGTGTAATTTTCTAAAGAACTCTGGGAAATTAAAGTACTTTTAGCGCACAATTTTTTTTTTCCTAGTGCTTTTCTTATTTGTTTTCCTGCATTACTGCAAACACACAAGAACACACCATAAATAATAAAGAAAAAATCCTGTCACACGTAGTAATATTGCCAAAAGCTTCTATGTGTAGACTGGCAGAGGCAGCCACAAAAGAAGCAAATCTTTAAGAATATATATATTTTTTTTTAATAATAAACAAAAATCAAGTTTTTATTAAAAACCACACTGCGAAAAGATTAAGAATAAAAAGCAGGAACCAAAAAAAAAAAAAAATAAAAAAAATATAACCACTACTACAACTAAAAGAGTAAGAGAAAAAAAAAGAAAAAATTCAACCCTCATTTTCTAAGAACTCTTCTTCATACACCGTTTACAATATTTATACAAAGTTCTACTCAAACACCTAATCTCTCTCTCTCACTCTCTCTCCTCGTCTCTCTTCATTCATATTATCTCTCATACACTGTTTGTTATATTAGACGGAGCGATAAAAAGGAAGAAAAATAAAAGCCGCATGCAGTCTTTTCTTTTTATTTATTTATTGTTATTGTTGTTGTGTGTTTGTTTCTTTCTATCATTTCTGAACTTCTTCTCATTAAACGCCTGTGACATTATTACTCAATCCTTTCCTATATATATGCAGGGCTGCTTGTGTGTGTGTGTGTGTGCATGCTATTGCATTTATGTATACATTTAATAATGCAAACATGAAACGTTCCGTGTTCCAGTGTACCTGTGGCATAGTGTGAGTGTGTGAGAGTAAACTTTGCGTTATAAAACTGCAATCTGCATAATCATGGAAAAACCACCGCAACCACCCATTTTGTAATGTTGCAAGCAATAGAATAGAACCCTACTTCAAAATGATGCATACATGCATTTGCATTTGACTCAGTGTTTTGTTGTTCATGTATACATACGTATATAGGGAAAAATTAGAAATGCAGCAGCAATTTTTAAAAAATCCATAACTAAACGAGTGAAGAATGATATGTTTTGTGAATTATTATTAGAAAAAACCGCTTCATTTATTATTGTTATTAAAAGACAAGAAGAACAAGAAGAAGAAGAGGAAGAAGAAAAAAAATTAAGGACTTTATACAGAAAGACTTAAAAAGGCAAAGTGTTGACGTATGTATGTGCCGCAGTTATAATGCATAATACATTTGATTTGGCTTTGTATCGAGAAAAACGGTTATGCAAATATTGTACTTTGTATGACTTTACGGGCCCGCGTGATAAGTTCATTTATTGTGAAAATTGCCAGCCGGAATTTCTACCTTACGCGCTTTCGTTTAAGTGGGTCTAAGAAGTAAATTCAACTTCGTTTTCGTAAAAGTTAATTCATAATTAAGAAAATTTTTTTGATGAAAATTTAAATTTTAATTACGTGAACTTTTTTTTTTTTTTTTTGTTTTGAAGGCTCAGGTAGTGAGTGTCCGAAATTTGTCTAAGGACTAAAATTAATTCCTTTACTCTTTCCTAACTGGATCTACAAGAAGTATGAATTAGTTCCAATTGTCGGATAAATGAGTTGGGGGATATGCTCTTCTTAAGGCCAAAGGTTTTTTGCGAAATGTCCCCCATTTTATCTACTAAAACCTCTACATATTTGTCCTAATTCTTTTGATATGTTGAAGCTTCGATGGCTTTTGCTACGTCTAGCGTTTGCTTTGATAGTTAAAATTATAAATTAAAGCTATGAGAACGGTTGCATTGTACAAAAATATACAAAAACTACTAAGACGCTATAGCGAGATACGGCCGGCATTAAAATACCCTACAGCACTTCATTTAATACGAACTTTCAAAATAAGTTGTTATATGGGAAGTGGTCGCAAATCCGAACTATTCAATAGAGTTCGTCCCCGGATCAGAACATGTTGGTGAACTCAATGTCATCAAAGCGATCTGTAGCTTAAACACAAGCGGATAAGACCAAGAGACGGACGAGCAAGCTTGCATGCATATCCTTGTACCAAAGGTGGGATAGGGTACAAAAACATTTTTCCTCATGCACGATGCAAATTCATACAATATGTTCAAGGCTTAACTGTATGATGAATAGAGCATTCGTTCTTGAATGTTCAATAGTATTATGCAAGGCATGATCCGCTGTAAACACTACGACCCTAATAATAGTTTATAGCGTTATCTTAAGCGCCAAGTGTGGTGTGAAGGAAAGAGATGACACAAATATAGGCGATTTTCTCCACCTTAAGTCGCAACGCATACTATCGAAGTGTCTTCGTTGTTTTGTACAACATTTCTTTTCACTTGTTGACTAAAAATCACTTTCACTCATTGCGCCCTAAACAACAGCTATCTCCAACCAAAGAATGCAAACGAAGTTAGAAGATTTGTAGCATTCTGTAATTACTATAGAAATTTCAAAAAAGATTTTGCAAACATTTAAGGACCATTTAAGAAAAGGTAGACTCTAAGTAGACAGACATAAAAAGTAAAGTCATCTACCCTTCCATGCTAATTATGATAAGGAATTTATTTCAACAACAGATGCATTAGATTTTGCGTTAGGAGGGAGCATAGGGAATATTTTATTATTAGCTAAAAATCAACATAAAAATTGAAGTTTCTTAACGAGATTTTCTTTGTGTAATTTCTTTTTATTTCCAGATAATCCGTCAATTATCGCAAAGCACTTAAAGCAGCATAAAATGTCAACGGCAAGGCATGAAATGCATCATAGAAATGCAACAACGCCACCAACGATCATATCACATGCATCAACAACAATACCAATCATAATTGGACAAGAAGATGTTTTAAATAAACAAAAGCCTAAAGACGTTGTCATGTGAAACTTAGAAATAAAAACTATGTGAAAAAGAACAAAACAAAAAAAAAAAAAAAAAAATTATTTTGGCATAAAAATTCAACAAAATTTAAGAAAAGATAAAAAATTCTCGAAAAATTAATTGGCTTAATTAAAATTAATAGAAGAAACAGAGAGAGGAATAACAAGAAGAAAAAAATTAAAAAACAAAATTGAAAACTCATTTTTGGCTTGAAAACTTTTTGACATAATAAACACAAAACAAAAATAAGTGTAAGAATTGAAAAAAAAAAAAAATAATAAACATTTTTGGCTTAAAAATTAATATAAAGAAAAATTCTCAAAATAATTCCATTTTTAAATTTCAAATTCGCCTCAAAACTCGTATAATTATTAAATAAATCATTATAATTATCATCATATTAACTACGAAAGAAAGGAAAAAAAATTTATATAATTTTTAAATGTAGTTTTAAAATGTAATTTTAAATTTTTGAAAGCAAAAAATGTAAATTACATAACAAAAAAAAAAAAAAAAAACAAAAATAATTTAAAAATAAAACAAAAAAACTAAATGTTTTAATTTGATCAAAGAATAAAAAAAAAAACAAAACAAACAACATTTATATAAATTAATAATATATTAAACAAAAATTTAGTAGAAATTATATAAGAAAATAAAACAAAAAAAAAAAAAATTTGGACACAGAACAGAACTCAAATATTGGGAACTATTTTCAAAATTATTGGTTTGGACTTAAAGCAGGCAACACATTCAACACCGGAATATTGATGAACAACAAGCAACAACAGCAGCAACAAAAGCAGCAAAATATAATACAAATCTGGTTATATTGCATTAATGAGTATATGTGTGTTAGTTTGCATAAAAATTTCGTTTCGATCTAAATAAAAATAAACAAAAAAAAAAAAAAAAAAACAAACAGTAAATTAAACAAAAAAAAAAACTTTTTTATAAAGCAAAAGGAAAAAGTCATCAAAAACATAATAATAATAATCCATTGTGTGAATCATCAAAGCAAAGTAGGAGCAAAAAAAGTCTTTTTGAACACAAAAACAAAAAGAGAAGAAAAGCTTTCTTCAATCAAACATCAGAGAAAGGTAAGTTGCATACAATTGCTGGTTTACAGTAAGTTTTTCTATTATTAGTATTCTCTACACCACTTGCGACGACACAAAGGTATGCATAGTTAGTGTGAATATATCCAACTGCCAAAAGGACTTGATATACGTTCATCTTTCATCATATCGATCGTTAGAGAAAGTGATTCTGAGCACGTCTGTCCGCCTGTCGTCAGTCTACCTAACATGCTTTCTTACGGTCTACCTACAACTACCAACTTTTCGAGTTTTGTTGTATTACTTTCAGTAACCAAAATTTGAGGTTCAAAACGAACGTTTCCTTTCTACACACAATTCCCCTATAGAAATTGTATTCCTTTAAATCGAATTCTTTGGTTTTTTTGTCCGTTCTATCCTGCTTTATATCCTTTAATATTTTGCTTTTCTTTATTAAGGAAAATTATCTTCATCAAACTATTAGGGTGGAAGGTAAGCAATTTCAACAAGGTGCAAGGAGTTTGAAGACAGATTTACTCATCAGTTTAATCGCTCTTAGGCTTAAGAAACTTCTTCCAAACTCATTTGAACTCATCTATCCAGTTCCCGCAGTGAATTATCTTAGAAGCATTTCCGCATGAGGAGAAACATTTGCCGTAAAGGAGTGTGTATGTAACACCCAGAGGGACTTTTGCACCTGTCAATTCAGTGTCATTTTCTGAATCTCTATGTCTGTGCGTGATCTTTTCTTTTGTTAAACCTAAAGGTTGTTAACAATTTTTGGGATATTTTGAAGAAAATTATTGCATCGATATGTTTTCCATCCAAGCATGGAAAGCTATTGAAAACGGTTTAGATTGATAATGCCGTATTTTGCAAATTGATTATATGAATAACTGAATTAAGCGTAATGGTGGTGGGTCGTGTGTCACTATAGTGTTTTTACTTGTCATATACGATAATAAAGTTCAATATATATATGTTTTCTGAAACCATAAGTTTAGGAAGCGTGTAATCGCTGAGCTCGGCAGTATGTCAGTGTGTACGTTCCGTGCAGCTATAGATAAAGTATAAAATGAACGCAAATTGGTGAAAAGTTCGCTAATGTTTTCTTTTCTTCTTTTGGGAAATTTCAATTTTTTTGTACGCAATACTATGAATAATCTAACGAACTCTGTTTCGTTAGATGAAGATTGAAGACGATAATGTTAGCCGAGTTTTTAAGCAGAAATTCCCGTATAGAACTAGAAAAAATCAAGTTTCTTTAAAAAACTACACAGAAAGCGTATATCGGTCAAAATACTGTTTTGAGATATTTTAATATCTTTAGTTAATATCCTTAATACCCCTGTTTTTATGGATTGATTTTACCAGTATTTTCTCGATTAAACAATGGCTTTCTCCAGATAAAATAATGGGTGTTGATTTTGCTCTTTTCCACAGAGGGATATTACAAAAGATTAGAGAGCTTAAAGTAAATTCTTTATTATATTATTATGCATATTATTATTACAAGCAAGAAAAGGAAAGAACGAAGGAAGGAAATAAGTTAAACGAACGCTCGACAAAATTGATACCCGTTTCTAGCTCCATCCATTCCATTTTTGATATTTTTGGGGGAAGAATTGATTTAAGCTTGTTCGTCTGTCTGTCTGTCCCGTTCGCTTGTGTTCAAGTATTGAGATATTTTTATGAAGTATGGTACATTGACCTGTATTGAAAAAATCATTTTATGAATATCTGCATTAAGCAAAATTGTGGCCGTGTCCTGCTACAATGTTTCTACTTGCTTTTCGGTTCTTCTTTCTTGTCGATTTCTCGCGAGCCTCAACTCCTGTGCTTGTCTCGTTCACTCGTGTTTGACGTTCAGGCTGCAAGTACTGAGATATTTTGATGAAATTTGTGTGATGATGATGTGTTTTGATCCAAGGACGAATGTTACTGACAAAGCTCTGGACCGGCCGGATGATTTTCGACCGCTTCCTATATAAGGCATTATTTTGACAAGTGCTTATGTGCATTAGTGGTGAGCTATGGCCTACGCTATAGTTTAGTTTTATTTGCGCTAAGGAGAAGTTTAGGAGCCTTGTCCTCTATTTCCAATATTTCGCGTTTCAGGATTCGACGCAAATTTTGATCTTTATAAAGGTACGCGTCCTCTCGATTGAATACTTCTGACTTAAATGTAAATATTAATACAAAATAATTTGTTTTCTCTTAGAAAATAATCTTAGCTATCTTATTAAAAAAAAAAAAAAAAAAAACAGTTATTAAATATATTGTTGACTATTATTTGCCTGTAGATGGATCCATATTCCTTTGGAAACTTTAAACTTCACAAGTTCAACTTAAAAAGCTTACTTCGTTATTGTATTCAGAGTAAAATTTATTATTTATGTGCATACCGATTGAGCAAACCACACCGCTAGACCGCGGCCGTTACATGTTTCTTCTACAATTTTTTTCCCACTCCTTCGCAATGCTTCACGAATAAGCGAGTATCCCTTGAATGATTGTTCATAGAAAAACAAAAAAAAAAAAGTGGAATTTGAATGGTATTTGTTACGAATGGAAAGGAAACATTTGGGAAAATATTTCAAAAATTTCACCATTGTACGTTTTTACAATGTTCAAGGCATTTTATTGCTTTTCGATTTTTATCTGTTGCAAGCAGGTCGGGTTCAGAAAGATTTGCTTTATCGAGTGAGTGGTTCCGCTGTAACAAGCGCAGAGATTCAACTATGCATTTTTCTTACTCTCGCATGAAAGGTCTTTCGACCATAAAATCCTTCTTGGCTAACATACTCGACATCTGGAACTGTAAACCGGCCTCTGAGTACAAAAACAACTAATAAAACTCTTGAGAGACCTTTCTTCAAAGCGATCTTGATTGCTTTAGTATTGGACTAAGTAAAAACACTTATTACACAGTTAGAAAATGACAAGTTGGACTTGCGGCTATGTGTGTATGCGAAAGTATGAAAAGAATTCTTGAAAAGTAATAAAGCAAAAAAAAAGAAAACAATTCGAGTTTAAACATATTTGCTTGTATGTGCAAAGACACAGTTTTTGTCTTTAAGAAAAAAAAATGAGGTTTTCTTTTCTTTCTTTGAGCATACGTTAAGTTAATAACAATAAAAAGACTGAAAGAATGAAATGCGGCACGAAAAAAATGCATAAGCAAAACGAAAAACTATACACAAATCGTGTTTATATATATATATATTTTATACATATATTATGTACGAAATATAAGAAAGTTGCGTACATTTCGGTGGTTTTTTTTTTTTTTTTTATTTGATTTTACTTTATATTTCTTCTGTTCTCTTCATAAGGGCTTTTCATTTATTTTTCTATTTCCTCATAACATAAAAAGCAACTGAAAATATGTTTGCATGACATTGTTGGTGTGTGTTTTGTTACTGCGTCGTTGACCTAGTTTTCATGTTTTTTGTTATTTTATTTATTTATTTATTTGTTTTGCTTTTTTTATGTATATGTACATATATATATATATATATATTTTTATTTTTTTTTTTTTTTATACTTTTCTATAATCATTTCTATTGAATTTTAAAGTATTATTAGTTGATTTGTCATTATTGTTTTTGTTGTTGCTGCTCTTGTTAGTTATTGCTCGCGCTTATTATTGTTTATATGTTGAGTAAGTTGTCTTTTAGCGGCAAATACATACGAGTATGAGTATTTAGGCATTTCATTAAATGCAGTCGCCTTCCACTCTATTTGAACTCATTAACACGCATGCAATGCGTAGTTAACGATAGACGATACTCTTTCCTCCGCGTTTTGAGAGTGTGGGCTTGAAACTATCGATACTCGTAATTAAGAAATCGAATTGTCATATATATATATATACACATACATATATGGCATGACATCTATCTTCCTCTGTTTTATTTATTTATTTTTTTTGCTTTCTAAATTTATTGTGCATACGCACACTTGTTTTTTAAGCAGTTCTTTTTTTCGTTTCTTATTGTAGCTGAAGGGTTGCTTGAAGTTTTATATACCTTTTGTGGTCTATTGCTATGTTAATGTCATCTATTCACGTGAGTACGTTTCATATTAGTTTCTCACCTATCGGCTGAGGTATATTAAATTTGTGTTTCCATTTGTAGTTATTAACTCAAAACTGGCATCTCAAACACCGCCTTGCATATACCTGATCAGTGTAAGATTTTTGATTTTGATTTAGCTGAATCCCTCCTATGGTCGTCCATCCGCTGGTCCGTTCGTTTATCTGTACACCCATCCATATATACGCTGGCCTTTCCATGCGTTGGTCCATCTATCGGTCTGTCTATTATCGGTTGCGTGAGCGCTCACAACAATTGCTCACATCAAGTTTGATGTGCCCATAGTAGGCGGAAAACAAAAATATATTTATTAGAGTAACGCGTAATAGACGTTGGAATAAAAATCGATGCATACATTGCAAAGCCAGGCTATAGAGAAAAATATCGATATGATCCAAATCATTGAGGCTCATTTAAACGTTGAACTAAAATTCTTGAACTATTTTTTAATTGCATTTACAAAAAATTGTTCTCTTTGCTTCCGTTAATAAGTCGTAAAGAAATCGTCAAATGTGATTCTGCGATCTTATTGTGACTATTGCACCAAAACACCGTGTTACACACACTGTGTCCTTAGTTTGCAAAGATATTATCAAATGTGAAACTGCGACGACTGTTCTGAGATGGTAGGCAAAGTCTCTTAATGCACCTCTGGCGCACATATTGTGTCGATTGACAGCTTCCTGCCCAAGATGCGGGATTGAATCTATGACGCACATCGTGATGTGATGTCTTATAAAAACGCGAGGTCCGATTAGAGTTAAGGGAAAAATAGTTTTCGTAATTACTTTGCTCTTGACTCGTCGGCAAGTATTTTTGGAAATTTTTCTTGGAAAATAAACATAAGTGCTTAAAATAGGGGAACTTTGCTCTAATTAAACATTTTCAAACGGAAAATAAAGTATCATGAGTTGAGTATAATTACGTTGACCTTGTATTATGAAT